ACATTAGTCAGTGTATATTGCTAGAAGTTACCACTTGTACGGTTAAATAATAGTATTATGCAGGTTACTGTACTATGTTTAGTCAATATAGGTGCGGGCTGCACAGGATTCTCAAGTGGGGCGTTAAAGAAGCCGGTCTTATTCTTTGGCTTGTTTTCTTCCTGTTCATGATGATAATAAGAAAGGCAAATTCTGTGTGTGGTTGACTTTTGCGCTACTGGGGTTGTCCCAGTTAGTTTTGCTTGGGGCTATCGGTAATATTTCTCATCCATATTGTATGTCTGTACTGTTCTCCAGATCCAGGGTTCAAGTGGAAAAAGACTCCTTGAATAATGGGGCAACAGATAAGTGTGGTGAGTAATGTTCTTTTGATGATTAGGGCTGTCACTATGAATTATATATATAATCGCGTAATCTACTCATTAATCTGACTAATATAATATAATACATTGCAATTGGCACGAGGCAGGAACCAGTGACATATTGCAGGGTGCACACTCAGTCACACATACTGTCAGTTTCAGTACTCCATTTAAGTTACATGACAGTTTTTGGACAGTGCAAGGAAGCGTCCGCCAAAAAGTCACGCAAACACAGGGTGAACATGCAGACTCCACACACACACAAAGTGCATGTGTGCAGTGACAGTGCTACCCAGCGTGCCAATATGCGCGTGCACAATGTGCAGTGTTAATATTGACTTTGCATTCCATGCACATGCAATTGTCACATCGCAAGGAATGTGACAGTCTCCTGGGTTCAAACTATCAGTTGTGCTTTTTACTTAGTCATTGGAAACAAAACTTAGCAAGCTTTATAATTTTGTGATGGTTCCTTTTCAACATTATCTAGTAAAAAAAATAATAATAATTGGCCTAAAGCCCTAACCTTGTGTAAGCTTTGCATGTGCTGTCTAAGACGATCATAATCATTTCACCCTTTACAGGAATGTGGCGAGTCTGGACCCCACACCTATGAAGACACATGGGGAGGACAGGTCAACTCCAACACAAATATTTGAGACCCTTTGCTATGATGATAGTATCTTACTTGTTCTTTGAAAAGAGTCAATCTGTTAGTAATTAAAGAGAAGTAATTCCACTTGCAAGGATGCCTTATGAATGAGGAGAATGCATTCCCTTAGTAAACTCCAACATAAATATTTGAGACCCCTTGCTATGATGACAATATCTTACTGGTTCTTTTTTAAAAGCAAAAAGCCTTATGAAAGAGGAGAATACATTCCCTTTGTAAACGTTTGATGACAATTTTTATTTGCTTTTAAATTTTTCTAGATGTATCCATCCTTCCTCCCTCTGCTTATTCTGGTCTGGGTTGTGGAAGGGTCTGGTCTGGGTTGTGGAAGGGTCTGGCGCCCGTTCAAGGTGGCACAGTGCAAAAAGCAGGAGGAGCTTCCTTAACCCTGATTTATAAGTCTGCATAGCTGCGTATGTCACACCATAGCCTGATGTGCCGCTCTCCAGAAATGTAACTATATGTTGTGGTGATACTGTGATTGGTATGTGGCTAGTATAGGTAAATACAGAAGCTTAAATCCGGCTTTAGCGGAATGTCAGTCGAATGCAGGACAAACAGTGGGCAATTCAGAGTTGCCAGTTAGTCTAACTACATATCGTTGGACTGCAGCAGGTAGCAGGAGTTCCTGGAGGAAACACTTGTGATTAAGTGAGAAGGTGCAAATAGAATGAAGGTGGAATTCAAACCTTCAGCCCTGTGAAGCAACAATGTAACCAAGTGAACCTGCTGGCCTTTTGTAATTTGTTAAATTTTAGAATAATGTATCATTTATGGAAAGTCAGTAATTGGTGGTTATTTGTTCTTTGTGCAGCTCCATAATCTCCAGCTGTCTTTTCAAAAAAGGTTATATAGACAAAAACCTGATTCTGAAAGACTTTCTGTGATATCTTTACCCAGATTTTATTCTGCACTGCATTTTCTGTACTGCACGCCAGCCGTTTGCTCTGTCCCACCTGAGATAGGCTCCCGGCCCTCTGCAGCCCAGACCAGCAGAAGTGGTTAGAAGATGACAGGACTTTCTGAATTTCATCTTTGCTACACAGAATAAAAATAATATTTCTCTGGAATAATTGTAACACTTCCTTTCTTGTTTGCATTACGTGCAGCTGCCTCCAATCCCTGATGCAGTGCTGGAGGAAGTGTTTTTTAATATCGAAGGCCAGGATGTAGTTTGTGTCTGCCGGCTTGTTTGCCAGCAGTGGAAGGAAATAGTTGACAGCACCTCCTACTGGAAAGGGAGGTGTCGGCGGGAAGGACTTAAACCATACAATCACAACAAAACTGCTAAAGGCTGGTGTCAATTTTATATCCTAAGTAAGAGGAGGCAGAACCTGCTGAAGAACCCCAAGGCTGATGGTAAGGGGGGGGGGAGAGAAGGACTGGAGACAGAGTATCGTCTGCATTTAGGTACTTTCAGACTGATTTACTCTGTACAGTTGAAGATATTCGATAAACACTCATCCTTTTTAATATGGGAATTTCTGCAGATTTTGCAATAACAATTAATACTTAGTATCCTCTTTATAGGCTAGGAAAGGCTCTTTTGGGCAGACACAAGACGGCACGCATGTGGGTGGGAACATGCTTGCTGACTGCTCATGTTCTTCGCTACTCTGCGCTACTTTGTGGATGTACATGTGGAAATGTATAACCCCACAGCCTGTACAGTGATTAAATAACTAGTAACACATATGTCAGTGCATTACTATTGTTAATTTGGTGTTTTTATTTTAAAGTTGATTTTCACAGTGCCGACAGTCAAATATATTGTCTTCATATAATGAGAGGGGGTTTATATGTAAACATTATGCATGTACATTATAATCAATATACTTTTGATGATCATTACATGGTCTAATTTTACCTTCCATTGCATGGAAAATACATGTAATAATATGTTAAATTATAATATGAATTTTAGCTAATTATTATGAAACCCCCCCCCCAAGTGGCTTGGGTTAATATAAATGATTTCTGTTCTCATTAAGAGGACTTCAGTGGCTGGAAAATCATCAGTAATGAAGGTGACAAGTGGATAATCGAACCTGAATCTTCATTCCCTGATGAACGGGTCCAAAAATACTTTGTTACCTCTTATGGGTCAGTATTCAACTTCTGCATTGCATCTGTTATCTAAAACTAATATGTGCATAATACTGTGATGTTTTAATAAAAATGCCTGTGTGGAGCTCGGATGTTGTTCACATATTTTTGAAGAATTTCAGTATTATGTTATATTGCATGGGTTACTGTAGGATAAACATTTTCACCTTTCTCTGTTTATTTGGTTTTAGCTCCTGCATAAAATCCCAGCTAATCGACCTGAGTGAAGAGGGTTATGGACCATATCTAATGGATGAGATTCAGCCTGATATCGTAATATCTGACTGGTGAGAGCAGTTCGTATTTCTGTGTCTGTTGCTATGTTTTTTTCAGGGTACACTAATCTTCTGGTTTGGTGTGTGTATAACAGGTATTCTCCCCGCTGGGACTGTGGAAGTCAATATGAGATTTCTGTTGAGCTTCTCAACCACAAACAAAAAATAATTAATCGATTCCGTCCAAATCATGTAGTATTCCCTCAGTGGAATGACATGCAATGGCAGCAGGTAAGTGAGTCTAAATGTTCTCCCTGAGCCTGCATGGAAGATTAGAGTCTCAGTTCCCCATAGTTTGTGATTGTGTGTGCAAGTGTTTGCCCTGCACCAGCCTAATGTAACAGCCAGGGCAGACCTAAGGAAAAGCCANGAACCTGGATCATTCCCTGATAAACGGGTCCAAAAATACTTTGTTACCTCTTATCGGTCAGTATTCAACTTCTACATTGCATCTGTTATCTAAAACTAATATGTGCATAATACTGTGATGTTTTAATAAAAATGCCTGTGTGGAGCTCAGATGTTGTTCACATATTTTTGAATAATTTCAGTATTATGTTATGTTGCATGGGTTACTGTAGGATAAACATTTTCACCTTTCTCTGTTTCTTTGGTTTTAGCTCCTGCATAAAATCCCAGCTAATAGACCTGAGTAAAGAGGGGTATGGACCATATCTAATGAATGAGATTCAGCCTGATATCGTAATATCTGACTGGTGAGAGCAGCTCGTATTTCTGTGTCTCTTGTTATGGTTTTTTCAGGGTACACTAATCTTCTGGTTTGGTATGTGTATGACAGGTATTCTCCCCGCTACGACTGTGGAAGTCAATATGAGATTTGTGTTGAGCTTCTCAACCGCAAACGCAAAGTGATTAAGCGATTCCGTCCAAATCGTGTAGTATTCCCTGCGTGGAATGAGATGCAATGGCAGCAGGTGAGTGAGTCTAAATGTTCTCCCTGAGCCTGCATGGAAGATTAATGTGTCAGTTCGTTTGTGATTGTGTGTGCAAGTGTTTGCCCTTTACTAGCCTAATGTAACAGCCAGGGCAGACCTAAGGAAAAGCCAGCTGACAGAGCTGTCTTTACTGACCATGTGCAATCATCAAAATTCATTAACAAAAAAAAAATGTAAGTTATATTCAAATCTATGAAGATGAATAGATTTGTTTCCCACAATTTTTTCTTTGAATTAATAATAAATATAGAATACAAGTTAAATATGAATAAGTAAAATCTAACAAGTCTGTAACTGTAGCTCATGGGACATAAATGAAGAAAAAAATCGTTAAAAATGGCTCTTCCTGACATGATGAAGCTCGGATTCGGCCCTCCACAGAAAGCCCGCCCTGACCCAGGGTGTGCCCAGCCTCATGCACTCTGCTGATTGGGTTAAGTGGTTAATGAGGATACCAATGATTAGCTGAGGCTTTTATTCTAAACAAATCACAGTTTATATTATACATAAAATGAAATCCGGAGAAGTACCTCTTTTGAGGCTATTACAGACATGCCTTCCCTGGGACATGAACCAGCAACTTAGCTCACATGTTATTGAAATTTTTAATTTCCAGATGGCATGGTGGCTCGTAGTGTAGCGTCGTTGCCTCACACCTTCAGGGTTGGCGGCTTGAATCTCGCCTCTGGTCTACAATGTTGGGCTTTGTGTTCTCATGGTGTCACTAGGGATTGTTCTGGGCATTCTGATTCCCCCCCACTGTCCATAGTTAGGTTATTCAATAGCCCTCTGATAGTGTGTGTGTGCTCTGAGTTTGACTGGCTGCCATCCAGGGTCTGCTTTATGCTGCCTCAGGGCCCCTCGCTGCTCAGCCCAGGATAAGCAGTTGCAGAGGTGGATAGTTCAGGTCCAGAAAACAAAAATCCAGACCAAGGTTTTGTTTCAACCAACCAGTTGAGTATAAAGCATCATAGTCCCCAACTGGTTGGTTGAAACAAAATCTTGGTCTGGACTTTCTGGACCTGAACTATCTACCTCTGAGCCATTGGAAGATCAATGGGTGGAAGTTTCATTAAAATGTTTTAAATTCATGTCCCTGCAGAATTTCTTTTGCACCACAGATGCTGCACTTGTGACAGTTTCCTTCAGTTTTTACTTTTGAATATTAGTTTTATGAAATCATAGCGAATTGCAAGTTACAGTCAGATCTTATACATCAAGCTTTACTGATAAAATCTAAGACCCGCCGTTGTGACCTGTCTTTCAGATGACCCATGTGTTCCGAGATTACGGGCCAGGCGTCCGCTTCATCAGGTTCACTCACGGAGGACAGGANCAGACGCTTAAGTCAGTCACTCTTGTTCTTTCTATTCGTATCACAAAGCTATAAAAATATATTTAGTTTCTACCTATATATATATTTGAAAAGTAGACCGTCCAAGGTTTCTGAGGGTGTTTTTTAAATGTGTATATGATAAAACCTCGCAGAGTTATTTAAATGGTTTGGCGAAATTTCTGTCAGATCCCGCCGGCGGGACTGCCGACCCCAGAGGAATTTAATATTCTAATCTAATCAGTTAACGGTTAATGTTCGGTTAACGAACGGCGGTTGTCGGTTGGGAAAATTAATCGAAATGAGCATCCCTATTTCAGACTGATTTACTCTGTACAGTTGAAGATATTCGATAAACACTCATCCTTTTCAACATGGGAATTTCTACAGATTTTTGCAATAGCAATTAATACTTAGTATCCTCTTTATAGGCTAGGAAAGGCTCTTTTGGGCAGGCACAAGACGGCACGCATGTGGGTGGGAACATGCTTGCTGACTGCTCATGTTCTTTGCTACTCTGCGCTACTTTGTGGATGTACATGTGGAAATGTACAACTCCGCAGCCTGTACAGTGATTAAATAACTAGTAACAAATATGTCAGTGCATTACTATTGTTAATTTGGTGTTTTTATTTTAAAGTTGATTTTCACAGTGCAGGCAGGCAAATATATTGTCTTCATATAATGAGAGGGGGTTTATATGTAAACATTATGCATCTACATTATAATCAGTATACTTTTGTTGATCATTATATGGTCTAATTTTACCTTCCATTGCATGGAAAATACATGTAATAATATGTTAAATTATAATATGTATTTTAGCTAATTGTTATGAAACCCCCCCAAGTGGCTTGGGTTAATATAAATGATTTCTGTTCTCATTAAGAGGGCTTCAGTGGCTGGAAAATCATCAGTAATGAAGGTGACAAGTGGATAATCGAACCTGAATCTTCATTCCCTGATAAACGGGTCCAAAAATACTTTGTTACCTCTTATGGGTCAGTATTCAACTTCTACATTGCATCTGTTATCTAAAACTAATATGTGCATAATACTGTGATGTTTTAATAAAAATGCCTGTGTGGAGCTCAGATGTTGTTCACATATTTTTGAATAATTTCAGTATTATGTTATATTGCATGGGTCACTGTAGGATAAACATTTTCACCTTTCTCTGTTTCTTTGGTTTTAGCTCCTGCATAAAATCCCAGCTAATAGACCTGAGTAAAGAGGGGTATGGACCATATCTAATGGATGAGATTCAGCCTGATATCGTAATATCTGACTGGTGAGAGCAGCTCGTATTTCTGTGTCTCTTGTTATGGTTTTTTCAGGGTACACTAATCTTCTGGTTTGGTATGTGTGTGACAGGTATTCTCCCCGCTACGACTGTGGAAGTCGATATGAGATTTGTGTTGAGCTTCTCAACCACAAACAAAAAATAATTAATCGATTCCGTCCAAATCGTGTAGTATTCCCTCAGTGGAATGAGATGCAATGGCAGCAGGTGAGTGAGTCTAAATGTTCTCCCTGAGCCTGCATGGAAGATTAATGTCTCAGTTTGTTTGTGATTGTGTGTGCAAGTGTTTGCCCTTTACTAGCCTAATGTAACAGCCAGGGCAGACCTAAGGAAAAGCCAGCCGACAGAGCTGTCTTTACTGACCATGTGCAATCATCAAAATACATTAACAAAAAAAAAATGTAAGTTATGTTCAAATATATGAAGATTGATAGATTTTTGCCCACAAATTTTTCTTTGACTTAATAATAAATATAGAATACAAGTTAAACATGAATAAGTAAAATCTAACAAGTTTGTAACTGTAGCTCATGGGACATAAATGAAGAAAAAAATCGTTAAAAATGGCTCTTCCTGACATGATGAAGCTCGGATTCGGCCCTCCACAGAAAGCCCGCCCTGACCCAGGGTGTGCCCAGCCTCATGCACTCTGCTGATTGGGTTAAGTGGTTAATGAAGATACCAATGATTAGCTGAGGCTTTTATTCTAAACAAATCACAGTTTATATTATACATAAAATGAAATCCGGAGAAGTACCTCTTTTGAGGCTATTACAGACATGCCTTCCCTGGGACATGAACCAGCAACTTAGCTCACATGTTATTGAAATTTTTAATTTCCAGATGGCA